CCTACTACCAGTTTTTTTCCGGGACTTAATTTACCGCTTTCAAAACGGACCCAACTTATTTCAGACCCAACTTAACTAGCCCCTTATCCCTTGCTCTTATTGTTATCAAAGTCCTATTTGTCAATGACGATTTTTTTGTACCAAAAGCTGCATTAATTTATATTATTATTCTCTCCCATTTTWAATCACCAAACTTCCCTAAATTCTGATCGATATTTGATGACAATATGAATTACAATATTTAAAAAAAATCCTTTTTATTTTTAAAAAATTATTTTATCATCATTACTTATTTTTTGTATACACATCGTTAAACTATAATTCTATAATTTACTAATAAAATTAGAGCCGTACCAAGGATTTTTTTTCGGGGGTAGGGGAGCTTAAWCATTTATACTTAACTCTATAGGAAAATAGGAAATAATTTAAAAACATATGTACTCATTACGCATTACTGGAAAAAAATATCTCACTTGAGATTTGGGGGGGAGGGCTTAAGCCCAAAAGCCCACCTCCTGGATACGGCACTATAGTGTATCACACTACTTAATCCATGGTTTTTTGACTGGGGCTCTATTTACAAGAGAGAGTCTAAAATTGATATTCGTAGGTTCACCGAGTGTTTTGGAACTTTTTAAAATGACCGAAAACAGTTGTTTTTTTAATAGTTTATTCTATATTTTGATGTCCCKTCATAGCTCAATTATAAATATGTTCAAATTGTTGTAATTTAAATTTAATTTAATATAATTTTTTCTTTTATTTAATTTTTATTAGTAGGTAATTTATATTTTTTTCATTAAGATAGTATAAATCTACCTATTCAATAACAGAAACATGGATATGCATATTATTATTGTTTTATTTTTGAATTTAATACTATTGATTTCAGATCAAAATAAATGGTATATCGATAATTTTAATGTGCACACGTACACATCGTGATCCACCCGTAACATTATGTAATATGTATGCATATCAYATAATAATATGTACACAATCATCTATTTTAAAATCGTAATAACACAGTGTAAAAATATACTGTAGAGTATAGTAGTGTTCATACCATGTTCAGCGGGATCTTTGGGCGTTTGAACAGCGTCTTCGATTCGTTCATCGTTCTGACGTTCGTGGGATCGCATGTTACCATTGCCATCGTTCTCACTACCCACGGCTCTGTCCGCCGGTCCCTCGGCCAGCGCAGTTACCATGCCTAACGGTCAGCCAATCAAATTCTACCGTAACAAGCTAATAAAAATAAAGCTATCGAACGCTTAAAAGTTATGTAGAAAAAACAATAAAAAGAAAAAAATAGGTAGAAATAAAATTCAAAAAACTATCTGGCCTCTTACAGAGGTTGGGAAACGATAAATTCACGTCACCTACTTGTTCGTTTTAATATTAATTTACAATAACGGGATAGAGTGCCCGACGACATAGGTAACTAATTCCTAACGATAAAAAAAAAAAATAATAATAATGATACCTAATAATAACAAACAAAACAAACAAACACAATTCTTGCAAGTATGCCCTGCAATACGATCTCTGAACAGTTTGAACATTATACCCGAATAGCAAATATTGCGAATTTTCTATTCAATAATATTGTAACTAATGTCATATTATGTTGATCTACATTTATTATTATGGCACTTATAATACAAAATAACAGTATAATTACTCTACGATTAATATACAGCTATTTGTATATAACGGTATTGTCAACGTATGACGATTAAATATGGTTAAAATAATAATAATAAATACGCTGATAACATATTTATGTAACTTATATACACCTACATTTACATAATAACAATATTACACATAAAGATATTTTCTAAATTTCGATTTTACCAAAATAATAATGATAGTAATAATAATAATAAAAAAAAATAATTGAACTGTATAATATACAGCATTATTATATTATTAACAAAAGCGAAATTTTGAAGTCTAATTATAATAATATAATATATCATAATAAATTATAAGTAATAWAGATAGTCATTAAGCAAATCATATACTCACAAATTATAAAATCAGACTTTGTTAATACTGGTGATTTTTCAGAAGAATTTCCGCTATCTGATGTAGGAGATTGTAGTGGAAGAAACAAACTCTTTTGGAACCTATACATACRAAATAATATATATGGGTTATTGATAATTATACGTGAATTTTTATTTTACACTTAGTTTTTATTTATTATATATTATTAAAAATTAAGATATTATTTACTTTTGAATAGATGGGAAAAAGAGTGATGGTTTGCAAAATTGATCRTAATAGTCATCAGTTTGAAAAAAACTATTAGGTAATGATCTTTTGGAACCTTGAGTTTCTTGTGGTTTTATTTCGTTTTTATCTAATTTGGTTTCATCTTTTGAATCTTTTGCGTGTAATTATAAAATTTAAATTGATTATTTATATAAATGTATAGTATATTAGTATAAAAATATTATAATATAAATAAATTAAGCAATTACATAATATGGTAACAGATTTATTAGGTGGTATTGTTGGATTATTTAGATGGACAGTAGTTTGATTAATTTCTTTCTTGATGTCACTAAAAAAAATTAATATTATTTGAATAAARAATAATAACTACTTATATGTACTTATTTGTTTTATACCTATTGATTCCATCGGGCCTTAAAAATACATCGTTACTTAAATTGTCATTGGTGTAATACTGGTTTTCATTGAAGTCGTTGAAATCTGTAATAATATAAACATTACATAYTGTTTATTTATCGGTTAAAATAAAAATAATTTTGTTTCATACACTGATGAACGGATTCCAATATATCAGGCTGAGAAAAATCTTGATTAAAATTGTTATTCGAACCTTGAACAGTTTGATACCACTGACACAGTAAAACTGCTGTATCTTTGTGTCCTTTTTTACAAGCCCACATCTAGGAAAACAGAATTAAAAAAAATAATAATTACAAAATATAATTGCAATAAAGTGACATTTTATTAAATTCGCTGCTGGTAAAATATTTACCAGCGGCGTATATCCTTCACGATCTTGTTTTGACACATTGACTTCCATTTCTAGAAACAGTGATACGTTTTCTAATTTCCATTGAAGTAGTATGCATACAAGTCTAAAACCAAATCAAAAGTTAGAAAAATTAATTGAAAAAGTTTTGGCGATTGTTAATTATATTGTTTAATCTTACTTAGAATATCCCAAAAAWGCGGCCATATGTAAAATTGTGGTTTCGGTTTCTAATTGCTTGACATTGCATTCAGATTCAGATTTCCATTTAAGCTGTTTCATTTTTTCACAGTAATTTACAAGCTGGTCTTCAAAGTTAGGCTTGCTAAACATAACGATACTATCCTTCTAAAAAAAAAATAAAACCTGTTACCTCGTTATCCTAAATTGTTTACTTCCAATATTATATATACTAATGATTGGTTTGTTTGTTGATTGTTCGGATGCTGTAAGTAATCTTCAACGGAGTCAAGTTTTTGTAGTAAATGAAACTTGAGTAGAGACGGTGTATTTGACATTGCTAACGAGGAAATGGTTAGTGGGAATTCGTGTTGACGGTATTCAAATATCGCGGTGGTTGATACTGGCCTGCCATCAATGACTACTTGTAATGTAACAGTGCCTATATCATGAGCTGCAAAAAAGACATTTTTTTTTTTTTAACCTTGAGTACATAATAAATAAGGAGTTCTAGAAATTTAAATTTTAACATTTCCGTCAGTTTTGATGTTCTAACTGAATGGTTGTTTGATTTTTTAACTATGATTAATTTGATTTTAATGAATAATCAATTTTTTTATTTTATCAATAAAATTTGGTACAATGCATAGAACTTATAGGTACTAGTATAGTATAAKGTATATGGTACAATGTTAGAAATATGTAGATAATAGTATTTAAATTGATTAACAATCATTGCAACAATCAGTAGTTCAGTGATTTTAATGTTGTGAATAATAATATCTTCTTATTTAAATAATGTATTTTCAACATATTGAAATTTCCACCACWTATAATAAAATACCTACTAACATTATAATAAAAACTAAAAAATGTTACTGATTCATAATCCTTACATTAAGACATTTTTATATAATCAACACGAAAATTGAATAAATACCGATTGATTAAAATGTATAAACATGTCAATTTTTAAATTTTTAGTATCCATATATTTCATAATATAACATAAATATATATGATACTAGCTGAACCCGTGCACTTCGTAGCCCATTAAAAATCCAACCTCTTACATGGTCCATACTGTGAGTTAATTCGTTTCATGTGATGATGCTAGCAGTATATTTTATACATAACGATAGATAGTGGTTGAAATATATTTCAATCGTACAACGATATTCAATTTTGTAAATCATTATGTAATTTTCTTTGTTCTATCAATATAATTCTGACAATTTAAATATTAAATTGAAAGATATTTAGGCATATCACTTTCTAACTTAGCCTATCTTCTGCCCATAGGTCTAATAAAACTCTGTACAAAATTTCATCGCAATCGGTCCAGCCGCATAGGAATGCATATAGGATATATATATATATAGCTATCTCTGTTTATCTTCGATTTCTGTTTATCCTTTATTTGAACGTTTAACAATATATACATAATTTATACATTTTTTCAATAATCACGCTTGAATAAACACTGCAATTATAATCATATCAAATTTCGTTGCAATTGGTCCATCAATTGGAATTGGAATGCATACGAAAAATGCATTCTCGTAAAGAATAAACAAACAGAAATCTAYTTTTATTTTCTTATTAATGCCCATTAAAAATACTAACGCTTATGATTTAGTAATTTACTTATATAACACATTTAGTTATTCTTTACTTGAATTAGGAAACGGTGTAAATCAAATAGCAACCCCAATGTGATACAATTTAAAACAGTTTAAAAAAAAAATTGTATTAACTAGGAATATTGAATTATATTCAAGTTATATACTTATATCACGTTCACRCGTGATGCTTTGACGAAGAAAAATAGGGATTCATTTTTATAAAGAGAGATAATACTTCTGTAATATGTTGATAACTTATGTATTTATCTACAAGACGAATAAAAAAAATTTATTTTTTATCCTCATCATTTTTTAAGTAGGTAATTATTTCGTAATATTATTGCTTAGATAATTGCTATATTATAGAAATACAATACTTATATATATATTAATTTTAATAATAGTAAATTATCTACCTGGACAGTAACATCGTAAAACACCTCCTTGAATCAAAGTGCTCGGAACTGTAATCGTATCAAACATAACAGTGTACGACGAGGAAGAAAACCAAGGACCCGTGATAAGTACCTTAACACCTCCCTATAAATAAATTTWGTAAAATAAAATAGCTTATAATATAAATATCATCCACAAACCTCGGGAAACGCCCACTCAGGACAGTAATCAGTTATTTGTAATACATCCATGTCTAATTGTGTTTGACCATGTGGCTGCATATCCTCGGMATTTGCTCCTATTTCCGTAACCAGATCTGTAAAACAATAWTACATATTCAACTAAACATTAGTACAAAATATAAATTCATAAGTAGATCATTTCGTGCTGATCATCATCAGAAACGTACTTGAAGCATGTTGCGTTGCTTGTTCCAGGATATCAAGTTCTTGGAAGTCAGTAAGCATATCAAATGCATCAAGACTTACAAATACATCGTCTCCAGTACCGTYTAGATTCTTATTACTATGATCGTCATCCAATCTGTACACAATACAATTATTATATAATAAATTATGACAGCGGTGTATCAAACGAGGTGAAGTATTCTGTGTCTAATACCTCTCCTCCTCAGTAATATTTATTCACAAAGTAGACATATTTACTGTAAATACATTTGAGATATTTTCAAAGTATCTATATTGTMATAAAATGGTTCTACTTCATAGTTGATCTTATTATTTTCAAGATTGACCACTACTACAGTGTGTAAATCCTCATTAGTTTTATTTTAATGTAAAATAAAAGCATCCCTAAAAAATCCTGTTCATGCACTTTAATTATTATCTTAAATTATGAATATCGTCCATAATATGTAAAATTTTGAGTGATTCTACAAAGGATCGCAAATGAGTATCGAAGATATTATAGTAGGTAACATAATAATATATTTAAAATCAGTCATTATATTGAMGTTTGTGATAAAACACTGCCTATTCAATGTTTATCCAAATGTATTGTGATTTTACCTTAGTAATTGATCAGCACTGGTGCACGATACAGGCATATTGGCTGAAAGTGTCTGTTGTATATCGTCGTGAGACAAAGTTAACGTGACATCATAGAATTCCGATTTCACGTGGTCTGACTGTTCTTTTAGATGATCTTGTCCGTGGAATAAATGTGCAGTATGCTCGTCTTGATTTTGAGAAGTGTGATATGTTTGTTTTTCGTTATACACGTGGATCACTTCGTCTGAACCTTGTGGTTTATATGATATCATTGTAGTGGGAATGTGATTATTGTCCGTTACGTTGATTGGTGGTTGTCTATCGTTTAATATTTGGTTGTTATCTCTCTATCATAAAAATAAATCACGTTATAATAGTTTGTTATGCAGTTATTTAAATAATAAAATTTAAAGAACAGTCGAAAATAGTTAAGAAACAATAATATCAYTAAAGAACTTTTTTTTTTTAAATGAAATTTGTGATTGTTTTACGAAGAAAATTACTATTAACACTTAAAATAACCATTGAAAATACAAAAATATATTATGAACTGTAATTTTCTATTTATTTGTTTAAAATTTCAAATGTACAATTTTTTTTCTATACTATGTTTACTTAACATTTAAAAAAAAAATATAAATTATTGTTAAAACATGATTTTCTTGTCACTACTCTTTGAATAAAATAATGGACCTGGATAAGATACTTACACAATCGTGCTTGAGAATTATTTGTTGTTGTTGTGGTTGCGATTGCTGTTGTTGTGGTTGATTGAGAAAATCCCTWGKGGGATTTGACAACAAGTTGTTGTTTATTGTCGKGTTCAAGGAGGTTTGCCCACTTTGTGCCTGTTATTAAAATTCATATTTTCATTAGTATTTTAATTCTATGGGAATTAAGTATCATAGTTCCTTTAATATTAAAATTCACTAATTAATCACTAATTAGTGTATTCTGCAATATTATAACGTGACTTGTGAAAACATAAGTTCATTTTCACTTTTTACGATAGAAGGAATGAAATATTTTGTATCAGTTTTTCATCGTGTGTACCTTATGACTGACGTGATTAGCGATCATTAATGTGTTCATCGTGGTCCTGGACGAATTAATGTGGTTGTTGGAGAGTAATATTGTACCGGGGCGCGATCGATTCCCAGTCGTCGATGACACCTGCAAAGCGTCGTTACCACGAAATACAAGTTAACCTCGGAGTTTTTACAATAAATTATGTTATAATTAATCTGATGATCATGGTTTGCGACTTAAAGCATTTGATAGTTTTTTTTTATTTGAAATGAAATTTAGTCGAGTGCTAGTTTATGTGACGTTTCAAGTATGACAGTAACATGTTACTGTACTATTATTCTAGTTTTATCTGTTTTATTTTTTCTATTTTGTTTGCATATTTTTACGTGACATTTTGACGATGTATCTGAAAGCTTCGCTGACAAAAATGAATTGGTTTTTGTGGTTTAAAAAAAAATATAGTCAACTATACTTATAATATAACTCAAGTCTTAGAATGTTATATAAGGATAAATGTGGTTGTGGTATTTTATTTTTTTTAGGGAATAGAGTTGTGACCTACTTTATTTTGTTTTAGTATGAGAGAGATATTACTATTTTTATGAATATTTTTTTTATTATGTATTTTAATGTTTTTTAAATAATTTAGTGCATAATATAATATTAATATCGCTGATTTTAGATACTTAAGTCCCKAACTCTGGAACTAGGATGATAAACATGATAATTTTGTAACTACTTATACTATTTTTGTTACCTGATCTATTTCTAGTCTATTATAATTATATACATTTTTAAGAACGCACCTGATTACTGTCTGACGGCGAAATCCGTCTGATCGGGCGCGAGCACGATTGTCCGTCCGCGCACGTGGAGTCCGGACATCCACATTCCAGCGTTCGGCTAAGTAATGTCGCTCTGGCGTTCTTCTGCCACTCCATCAGTTGTGTAACCATAGCCGCTACACACTCGGCCGTCTATCGGATAACGTAGTACAATAATTCATAAGTTCTTTGGGTTCAATTGTGGTTTAGTTGTAGTGCATACATAATTTGGTGTCATATGTTATTCATATGATATGATATAGATAGCGTGGCACATAATTTTTCCTGTTTTCTTATTTGACATTAACGTAGGAAAACGGTAAAACGCAGTAGTCTAATTTGTATGTATTATATAGGTCACATTGTCAAAGAAAAACGCCTTAATCACAATATTATTCAATTCTATTCGAGCTTTGTTGTAAATCAGATTTGAATTACCACGAGGTTGCAATCGTTGGGTTCGAACTGGAATCATGGCGGTCATAACTATACATAGATTGTATACAGAGCTTTTTAAAATATACTAGCAGACCTCAAGCGAATTGTATGATATTTCACCAATGATGGGATGTTCAAAATCTTTCATTAATTTACTATACTTAAACACAATGGTATATTCATTAATTAGACCAATGTTAGTATACTGTTGAAATTAATTGTTATCATTAAATTGTCTCCTTTGTTATGGAAAATGACTTGGAATAAACAAGTGGCAATTACTATACCTGTACTGTATATACCAACACAGGTGGTTAATTATTTCTGTGTACATTGATGAAGTTAATTTTTGAAATTTAAACATGGTGTATTAAAATATTGTTTATTTGTACGTGTTTGTTTTTCAAATTTGTCTATTTCACTTAATAAAAAACAAAACTGAAATTAGAAATCAAAAACTTGAAGAACTCTATGAAATCTCCATGCTTAGTTGAATGCAAATATGATTGAAAAGTAAAAACTACAAACTACTATAACATATAATATGTTAATATGTTRTAGATGGTACCTATACAAGCTAATATCAATCTGTATGTGCAGTTTTTAAATTATTTAAAATCATATTAGTATTCATTTGTTGTATTAAATCACAGTATAAAGTATAATATATAGTTTCAAATAACATTTAACATGGAAYAATTTAATTTACTGTATCCATTATTCCTTTGTAGGAATAAAAATCTAATAAATGTTAGTTTAAATTGTAAAATAATGTCAGGTAAAACATGTATGCTAATGACATGGATTCAAAAAAAACTCRCGATAACTTTGAAAAGCAATATTAAAAGTTAAAAATATGTATGAAGTAGAATGGCCGTATTTTAGATTTGAAAAGTTTGATGTGACGACTTTGTGTTGTTTGCATGTTAAGTATTGTATACAAGTATAAAGTATCGGAAATTTTTTTGTCTGCTTGTTTTTTATCAGTTTAAATAAGTTGATTGCATTTGGTCGTATAAACATTTTCTTTTTTTTAATATCAGATAACATTTAGTTTGCTTATCTTAATTTTATATTATCATACATTCCAATCAATTTATATATATATATATATATAATATCTTACAAATTTAACAATTAAAAAATAAAATTTTATATCCCATCTGAAGTTATTACAAATTTTAAATTAATTTAATACATATATCTATATTTATAAATCAAAGCCTCTAATTTTTTTAGCAAATACTCATTTTTATATGAACTACATATATAGTTTTCTATAAAACTGATTTTTATCATTTTTATWACGACAACACGATTTTTTCAACAATATATTATGATTATTCATTTTAAATCTTAATGTCATATTTTACGATTAGATTTAATTTCTTCAAACGTTTCTTGCCACAAGTTAAATGGTATTAGATTTATATTTRGACATAGAGTTTCATACAATTTTATACATCAGCATCAACAGCCACATTTTTCAACTGAATATGTATGGATAATTCTTTAGTTAAGTATAAAAATCAGTATCATGTATCTTTTCAAATTATAATTGAAATGATCATATAGAAAACTTTGTACTAACAATCATACTATAAATTTCGCCAATATATTTAATTAATACCCATTGATTATTATAGAATTCTAAAAACTGATATAAAATTATTTAAAGTTTAAGTAAACAAATTCACTGAGAATGTTTGAGCACACATAACTAATTTTATTGGTTTCAATWTAAGTCTTATTTTAGTACTGGTAATTATTAATTAATAATATATTACCTATGGGTCATATTTATATTTATTTTTTAGTATTCATATTTTGGAAATTCAGTTTATTTACTTTAATGTTAACTTCTGAAATAGCATATTTTAAGGATAAATATTTATTAACAATAACGACATCATTTTGATTCTTCTTAATTTTGTGTGTCATTTAAAAATAATAATAACATTAAAAATAAAATTATATTGCACTACGATAACATGACTGGAAATTTCGCAGTTGAACATTATATAATCTGTACAATTAATTAATACAGTAGATTGTAAAATATTACGTTATTTTTTGTCTGATTTATGATGAGGATTACTCATTTCAGAATGCTGTTTTTATATTTTTATATAATGTGTTTTGACGTTTATAATACATTTCTTTAGTATAAAATGGTATTTTAATTAATTTTTGAAAAGGTACTAATACAGTTCATTCTGTTTATGTATTATACCAAAACGTAATTCATTTATCAATAACATATTGTTTAAAAATAACTTTTCAGATATATAGTTTTTGACTGTAAATTAAAAAAAATATGTATATATTATGGCTAAGATGACTTAACCAGACTGTTAATAAAAGTTTTTCAAATTTAATATTAATTTGTTTTTAGTTTAATGTGACCACACTATTAGCGTCACTGTCCAAAACTGAAATCCATTAAAAATAAATCATGTGTCGAAAGAAAAAGTTATTTTCTGATCGATTGAATCGTAATTTTAATAAATAAGTTGCTATATTATTTTAAAATTATTTAATTTATAAACTACAATATAATATATCGATTGTAACAATTTGAATGAATTTTCTGCAGTGCATGTTTGTATACATATTTATATATATATATATTTTTTTTTTTTGTAAGGAGTACCCGCGGCAACATAGGCCATTGGGTGTGGGGTGGTACGGTAGGGGTATTTGTTTGTAGGTTTTTAAGTGAGTAGGTATGTAACACGTGTTTGTGTATGTGTGGCAAGGATATGTTGCTAAAAATCCCAGGTGGTCACCCATCCAGGAGCTAGCAACTGCGGCCGGTACGTACGCTCAGTGCGTTTCCGCAGATTGAGCGTACGACCGCGCCTCACCAAGCCACTATATATTTTTAAATAGGTATTCAACTATGGAAATGWWTCTGAATTCAAATAAATGTATACCTAGTTAAAATATAATAGYTTTTATTTTATTTCAGATATAAAAAATATACATTTAAATGGATAAATTATAATATATACATTCAATTAATATTGTATGTGTTCAGTTACAATGTATCGTGTACTACGTTACGTGTAGGTACTAGAGGTGTTTATTATATTTTAAACGGGCTCGTTGGCCTAATTTAATTTTGTTTGAAGCACTACAAGTACTTACCGATACTTCCATTTCGTTGTTAAGGTCAGGGTCTTCTTCGTAAACTGAAAAGATAAACAAACAAAAGATATTTTTACAGTAAGGAGAAATAATTTTATAAGTCAGTGAAATAGTCAAATTGCATAGGGCCACTTACACATGGGTTTTAACTGAGATAGTAATTCGTCTTTCGTCCACTCTTTACGATCAGCCCACAGTGCAAGGCTTGGCGAAATAACCGATAATTTGTTGTCATCCGGATACGGTACATTCAAATAATGCACCAACACCATATCAGGATTCTATTGATAACCGGAATTAGACATGCATTATTAATAAAATTGATTATAATTATTATATATATTAAAAAAACCGTATCATCGTTATTACGTGCATTTGAGTTTTAATTTTTAATTTCTATGGTTTCATAATTATAAAAAAAATTGTTTTTATAAGATTTATAACAACTTATGTCTTATATCTTTAACACGCTTTGTCGTAGCTAATCGATAAGTAGTTACGTATGGTTTGTATTGAAATAAAATTTGTATCAAGTACCMCTTACTTACTTTGCACATTTTAATAAACGTACCAAAGAACTTATCGTAATTMGTATTGGTTTAAAAAATCCAATTATGACATTCAAAACGTAGCGAGAATTTATGTTTTATTGTACCTATGTATAATATGTATTCTAAAAACTACTGTGATAGGTTGATATACCTATTGATATTATTTTATCCTAAGAAAATTGTAAAATTTTTCCGTCTCGTAATATTTACTTGAGAACAGTAAACCATGCGTAATTTTAATCCCCACTAAGATGTATAAGTGACATCTAAGTATAACTTTCAAGTATATTTGATGATTTAAAATTTTTGAAATARTATTCATGGCGAAAAAAGACAGATAGGTCTTAATATTGTATGAAATACTCACTTGCAACAACCAGTAACACCTTCTGTGAAATGTCGGAAGTATCGCTGAATGTACATAGCACCCGTAAATGCACTAAAAAAATATAATGATTGTATTATTATTTAATAGAGATTCGTTAAGTTTAGGGAACCCTTAAAAATAGAATGAACAAAGGAAAAAAAATACCAAACCTAGACAAATTAATTATTCTTTCTTGTACCATTATATATTTATTTATCGATGTAAATTATTGAAATTTGTTGTAAATATTGTAATTAATTACGTTTACCAATTATTCTAAATGTAAAATATTGTTATCATCTTATCAATAGCTTTGATGAYCGTGTATGTCAGGAACACTTWACAATAATTATTATAATAAAGTAGAATAAACAAAAGTAAAATTTCTTTCCTGTGGCATGATTCATAATACGTCGCTGTACATGTATTGTTCCCAAGTATGGTTTGATTTGTCAAATTGTAATCAATACAGATCACAGGTGTACAATTGCATCATTGTATTATAATTATATAGGTAGGTAGTTAAAACAATTATACATTATAATACAGCATACTATTAGCTAAACCAGTATTGTCACATTAATTTGTCATGTGTTTTGAAATAAAGAGTATAAGCGTTTTTTGATTGCTTACTTGCTGTTTATTACAAACGATTAGAAATGCGATGACGGTAGACACGTTTTCGATGGCACGTGCGAAAAGCAAAAATTATATCATCAAATGTATAGAGTAAGACGATCAAGTTAAGTACACAATTATAAATCAAGAAAACTTTCTGTCTTAAGCTTGAAAGCAAATCGTATTGATTTAACAGTGATAAAGTCTGTTTTAAGAGGGTACTTGAACGAGTGGTTTTTGCTATAAGTTTTAGCACCTCACGTTAGAAAAAAAAATAGGAAACAGTTTCAAAAATCATATTATTTCATAGCATTTAAAAGCATTTTGTTTCATAAAGAAATACGCGCGGATTTCTTGGAAGTAAAGCGCGATAAAGGTATGCATAATATGAAATATGCACCTTATAAGTTAATAAATGTCGTGGTCAAGCATATGATAATTGGGTAGTAAAAATAAATGATTCAGTAATATTTTCAGAAAACTTTAGATATTATTTTGTTGCGCACACTACTCATAGCCATAATTTACATCATGGAGATTTTGTATGACCCGGCCATACCAGCTGCTATGAATAATTGTTTTGTATAATTCAAAGACCAACTATTTTTTCTGCCTCTACTGAGATCTATAAAATAAATATATAGTCCTTCTGAAATTCGTTGTTAGACTAAACAATAATTTTTTTCCCTGGGCCTCGCAAATCCTAAGGACAACCCTGGTGAAAAGTGACGAAACTTAAATTTAATTTTAATCTCAAAGTTAAACTTTAAGCAGGAGCTATAGTTTTAGATGGGTAGATTATGTGTGAGTAATAGACGGGTTTGAAAAAGGACCGTAAGTATAATTGTATCTATATTATTATGTTTGATGATAATTTTTGTGAGAAATTTTACATAATATTGTATTCTAATGAGATYAAGCAAAGAAATATATCAAAGATTAAATAGGTATTAAAATATGTAGCGATTATGCTTGGTTCTGCTTGATCTATTAAACAAATTGTATTTTTAAACGAGTAGAAAAACAAATTTGTTTATAAGTAAAAAGTTTAATAACAAAAAAAAAAACCATCATAACTATAATAACTTAGTCTACACACAGGAAATTACTTAAATGCACTGACTGCAGCTCATAAACAACATTTACGGACAGTTAAATTTCTGTGAATTCGTGACGTGTACTTGTACTTATATTATTATCATGCTAGGTACTTTGGCGACCRGCGGTTCTGGCTGGTCCATCGCTAGAAAATCRCAATTAGCATCTTTGAAATCATTGTACGTGAAATTGTAGTAATTTTAATTGGATACGGGTCAGAAGACGGACAGGAATCGACAGAATACGTGACTTTGGATGTGAASGCGTTGCACTCGTTCACCATGACATTGCATACAGTTGACACGGCCAAGCGCGGCATTAAATCCCTATAGACCACGCACAATAGGCATTGTATTAAATCTTAAAGTTTAGAGTCCAAGTTTGGAGTTTCCCGAGAAACTTGAGCAGTGTCTTACTGTCTTGGAGTAATTATAAGAATTCGTTCTGGCAAAGAACATCATTTTTTCTACCTAATTTAAGTGTCGCCGTACACGGGTGCACAAATGTACACGCCACTGCAGTTTTGGACTCGAGGCGAATACTATATAGATATTATATTAATTGTGTCCCCAATCCAAATTCAGTTTAATCAAACAAGTTTTGTTTCAGTTTACAAACAAAATTATGATGTACACGTTGAGCCCCCGGCATGCAAAGTACAAGTACARCTAACTTCTTTATAGGTTGTCATACTAGCTTATTAACAGCTACGTCACATCCATATATAGGTGTGCGCAGACTATAGTAATGAAGTAGGGTTATCTATAGTCACTCAGAAGTTAAGCTGAAATTGGACTCCTTGCCAAATATCTTTATAAGTTATAACACTATTAATAACAAATTTAAGATAGCACCCGTACAAACGAATTTATAAAAACTAATCAACTATTTTTCTTGTTTTATTATGTATATCAAATTATTTTAGAAAATTAAAMTTTTTAGCCGTCAAAGAAACAAAAAATGAAAGATGTCTCCGTCCAGAGTCATAGATATGATTGAAACTATATTAAAAACATTTTTTTCTGTGATTCACTATAGTTTACTGGCTATTAGAATTTATACTTCACTATAATACTGWCGTGTGCTCTGGTTTAAAGATATATTCATAGTTATGGGTTCATGATTTGAGATAGATTTTATAATAGTAGGAATTCTAAATATTATTGTTCGATTTTGAAATAACATACACCAAAAATGATTTAGTTAGACATAATCTATTTTGAATTGATATAACTTTGTGTTTGTTAAAATTTTGTTAATCGCAARATAGTTGATGGTATTTGTGTTGTGGTAAAKATATGGGTTCTTAAGAAATCTATCAACAGTTTGTAGCTCAGCCATCGTAAAACCCTTACAATTGTCATAAATGAAAATAAATATGTTCAATGTTGTAATGGAAAATAAAAATAAAAGACGTTTTTGAAATCTACCTCAATTGCTGTTAATAATGGTTTGGGAGGACGTTTGATTTATATGGGACCTTTCAACTATTTGTTTGATGGTGTAAAATAATTTTCTGTCATAATAAATAACCATAATAATAACAATCGCYACTAGTTTGGTTGCACGCAATTATTGCTTTCCAAGTAAAATTCGTATAGTAAGTTATGTCAAAACGTGTAAAATAATAATGATAATTCTATCCTCGTCATCATAATYATAATATTCAACATAGAATTATATTATAATTTATTGACACGTATATAATTTATACATACGTTTTATATAAAATATAAACAATAATTGAAAAATGTCACACGGCCGACCGACCGGCTTGCATACGTCCG